ATGGTCGGCTCGCACCAGCATTTTAGCCCGTCGTCGAAGCTCATCTTCGTTGGGCAACATGGTAGCAACTTCTTTCTTAGCCTCCTCGAGAGCACTAGCTTCTGTGTGATAATCTACTAGAGAAGTTGCACTTTTGACGCCGAGCTCAATAAAGATAGCTTCTTCTTTCTTGAACTGAGCCTTCAGCCTAGCCAACTCTGCTTCAGTAGTAATGATCTTCTCTCATAAGGCTTCCAGGGAAGTATTTGAGAGGGCTAGCTCAGCTTGTCTTTGAGCATTCAGCTTCTGCAAATGCTCAACCTGAATCTCCTTCTCAGCTATATGCCGCCGAGCTACTTCATGCTTATTAGATTCTTCGACTCGAATGTCCTCAAAAGTGGATACAATCTACGCCTAGATATAAGCACGACCTAAGGCCTCCAAGAACCATAGTTGTGCCTCTAGGCATAAAATGGCTTCCGAGCAACACTTAACAACATGAACATCACCCACAAATTTGAGTTTGTTCAAACTATTCATGAGCATAGGCTTGAAGGTTTCAAAAGTATCTCGACTAGCTAGCATGACCTTAATCACTTTCTTCGCTAGACTCTCTAAGTAGTTGAGAGAAATCTTGAGAAAATCAGGCACATTCGCTAGGCTCGAGATGGGAGACGGTGCTAAAACCTCCGAGGCTACCGAGCCGAGTAGGAGGCTAGCAGGTGATTTTGGCATAGTGGCCTGAGAAGGAATGTTAACATCTAGTTGAGATGAACTTGATTGGAGGGCTATAAGTTCCCCTACTCTGGACGAGCACGACACGTTTACAACCTCCGTCGGGGCTAAAGAAATTGTTAATAAAGTCACCGGTGAGAGAGTTTCTATCGAGAGCTCCAAACAAGGCTGCTCTGATACATGAGTTGGTGTGGTACAAGCTGCTGCATTGGACGAGAAATAACAGTGGTTGCCTCAAGTGTTGTAGAATCTACATGAGAAAACAGTTTAAATGCAGAAAGAAAACACGTCGTAATTCAGAATAAATGATGCTTACCGGTGAGAGGAAGAGGAACATAGGCTGACGCCTTATAAGAAGAAGATAACGGTAGGATATCCCTTTCACCGAGATCATCACCGTCATCACCCAAGTATCATTATTCTCACTATCTTCACCATGGTCGCTACCATCATCTACGTCGTTCACATCATCGCTATGAGATGAGGGTTCATAATTCACAGGCTCCTCTTCATCTATTGATGAAAATGCTTGTGGATTCTTGGCAATGATGGCCTTCAACATAACTCCAGTTGTAGGGCTGGGTTGTGTGTCCCGTAAAGGCAACATCAACACAGAATCAGAAGGAGATTCATCCTCCCCTAAGTCTTTTTGGATAGCCACTGTGGGTTCCTCGACAAAAGGCCTATCTCCTTCAACTTGAGAAACAGTAGGGGCAACATCTTGAAGTGTGTCTTCAGGGACAGATTCTGCATCCCCTACAAGCGATTCGTCTCCACCTTCTTCCTCATTCGGTGGATGAATAGAAGAGGCATGGCCTCCTAGAGTAGGACCAACTGTGGGAAGACCAGATTGGGTGAGAATTCTATAGCAGTAGACTCTTGCTCTTCCTCTTCCATATGCCATGCTTTACGAGCATCTTGCATAAGCTTAGAAGTAGGAGGCTCAAGGGTCAGTTTTCATCGAGCTCGCTTATCATACTCAGCTTCTTCACTTGAATCAAGGACTCTTTTTCTAGTGGTACTCTTACTCCAAGTCCCAACCCTTGAGGGCTCAACCTCGTGGGTATCGGGTACCCTAATTTCTTCCTGAACCCCCTCTTGTTCCTGTCGTCTCTCATCTTCGGTAATCGCCACTTCATACGATAAGTATTCACTGACTCCTCTTGCACGGGACTTTTTGGCACTTCTCTTTAAAGCATACCATTTTCGAATGGGTTTCAAGCAGAAAGTATTCATATTGTAGGCTGAGATTTGAGAAGCAGCCTGATACCATGTACAAAAGCTTAAAGAGGTGTAGGTGTTGGGCGTTTTGTGTGGCAACTTGAACTTTGCCCCGGTGCAGCCCACTATAGAATAATACCAAGCTCTTTCTCCTTCATACACATTCCCTGTGTATACAAGGGTTGGGTTTGGATTTCTGACGTAAATTTGATCATAGCCAAATTGTCGAGAAAAGCGATAAGGCTAAATATGGCTCAATGAAGCATATCCTCCCTTGCCGGAAAATAAGATAGCCTCGACGGAGATTTATGAGCCACCAGAAGGCGCCGCTACTGAGTATAGTAAAATAGTTACATCACAGAGTGTCCTGATGGATCTTTCCATACGCACTGACCTCAAAAGCAGGAAACTTGTAAATAATCTCGTAGTTATAATCCCGCCTAAATATCTTGAGGAATTTAACCTGATACTAACCGACCCATCGAGCGGTCTCCAATTGTTGGACGAGAGGGGCTGAGGTATTGTTCGATTTAGGCGTCGATATTATTGAAGAGCAGTGCAACACAAACCAGGATGCTAAATAGATATATGGTATCAGCACCCGAGGAGTTGGGGTTTGAATGATGGTCTTCCCATCTGATTCCAATTTATTAACAGCAACAAATCCGGAGGCTAGCTCCCGTAGGCCACTCTGCAAGAAACACACCATGGTCGAAAGGAGATTCAAAGGCTACCCATGAGCCAGAAGAATAGCTGAATATAGTACTTCCATTGTGATGGCGTCTACAGGCCTAGTTAGTACTACGCAACGCTTCAACCAAAGGGTAAGGAAACCGACGAACAAGGCCATATCAGAGATTGGGATATCTGCCTGATAATGGAAGCTTTCAAATATAGTGAAGGCCAGAAAGACGTCTTCCTCTGCCTCACAAGTGTAGTGGGAGGTTGTATCATTGATACACTCGTTGATTTCCTCCAGAGTACTGACAGCCAAACGAATCACCTCTGTATCTTTGTCCTACAAATTTTGGAAAAGATACTCTACCCATTGCCCTTGTTTGACACTATTGGCTCTCTAGTTTGTGCACATATTTGGAAATGACACATCAATTCCCAGTAAGTATCATAGACTTCTGGAGCATCATGTTTCAAAATCTCTAATTCCCTATTCCTGGGAACAAACTCTTCATAGGGCAATTCTCCAAAAGATAATCCTGAGATCTCAAACATCTCATGAAGAGTAAAACCTAATTTACCTGCGGGTGTGAAAAAGGTACCGGTGTGAGGATTATAAAATTTTAGCATAGAAAAAAGTCCACTATAGTTTGGAGAAATCCCATATCGAGTAGCTAGTATAGGGGTCCTCAACTCCGAAATCCGTAAAGGTTCTTCCTGCTCCTCTAAAACAAAGTTTATCATTCTGACCCACCGATCTGTCTCACTAGAATGTACCCATGTTAGAGCCCTAAAATCTTAAGCAGAGAATTCTTTCTTGATCGAGATAAATTTTTTGATAAAGACATCCGCCAGTTTAGCAGGTTCACCGATAGGATGTTCCTTTTTGAATGAACCCGGTTTCAAAGCTACAAAGTGGTTAAAACCAGCAGGATGAGTACCCCGAGGGGTGATGTGCCTAGTAGTAACACCTCCTTAATCTTGGACGAGTTCCTAATCCATGGACCGTGGGATAGAAGCGCATTGATAATAGGAAATCGGCCACATCCGCTTTAGGTTTGGCAGTAAAAGGTGACGATTATTGATATTCCTCAGCCATTTGTAGTTTCCATCAAACATCTGTTTGGGGTCCATTTTAACAGAGTCTCTAAAAAGGAAAGATGATTTCTTTAAGATCTCACATTCTGTGGTTTCAAACTTAGCATATGTAACCAAGGATCTGAGGGTTTCGGGGAAAGCCTGAGTGATGAGTTTCGCCCGCTCTTTGTTTGTATCTTGGAATATTGTATATTCCAAGCAAAAGCTAAAAATTGTATTTTTTTTCTACGCCTCCCGCATGACTAAAGTAATGGTTGAAAGAAAAAGGCTCATTGGGGTAGCACACTGCAAATGGAAAAGATGATCAATTAGTACGAAACAAATGACAAGTCTAAAAAAAGGGCTTAACTCAAAAACACAGAGGGTCCATACCAGCGTCCAAAATTTTGAACGTAAGGACCGGACCTACATTCAGGATTCCAAATGTAGGGTCCAGACCCGCATTCAAAATTTGGAACGCAGGGTCCGAACCTGCGTTGTAATATCGTAAATAATGGAGTTAACCATGCATTTCAATCGAGAAACATTGAGAATGATCTCTGTGTTTTAATAGCGGAATGTGAACTTTCAGTCAATGTTAAGGATAAAGAACTTGTCGAAACAAGTTATGATCGCCCAAACCTACCATTAATCAAGGAAGCCTAAGGCGCCAGCACGGATGTTTGAACACCCCCCGATGGCTTTGGTCGACGGAGCACCCTGAGCTTGGGCGACCTTTTATTTGGAAGCGGTTCTCTTCTTAGGAGCCATTCTAACCTTTGCAAAGAAGATAGAAAATGGTTGAAGAAAGATTTAAAAATGAATCTTTCCTTCGTTGAAGCGCCGGAGAAGATAAACAGGAATCCTGTTAAGTGGTCGATAGGAGAGCAAAAAGTAAAAGGGGAATGACTTTTTGATTTGACCTCAGCGGTCCATTTATATACAGCTGTAGCTATCAAGTCGATGCGGGATTTTAGGAAAAAATCCCACCCAAAACATGATTTTCGCATTTTCAAATAAGTTGTTTCAACCTCTAAACGCAGCCCCACATTCTGATTATCAAACGCATGATTTAGCCCTGCGTTTTGGTGCTCGAGCTTTAGATATTGAGAGGAAAGTTAACAATGACCATCAAAGTAATGAAAGCCAAGAAGAAACTAGCCTATGCAGCCTCTCGGACGAGTACAGACAGACTATAGTCAATAAGGTTAAAATTATCATGCCCGGTCCTTCATGCAGCTCATCCTTTCAAATGGATTAACATTCTAACCAAAATTAATAACGATGTTGTTGAAATCATTACTCCAGTTGAGATGATCAAGAAAGGAGACAAAGTGGGTTCCTCTGAGGTTGCCCTCCTTGCTAAACTTGGGATAAGATCCTTCTCATACGGATTAGTGGTTCTCTTTAACTATGACGATGGATCTGTCTTTAGCCCAAAGGTGTTCAACTTCACTGAGGGTGATCTCATTGACAAGTTTACAGCTGGTGTTGCTACGATTGCTTCGCTGTCATTAGCTCTCTCTTACCCAACTCTTGTAGCTGCGCCTCATATGTTTATCAATGCATATAAGAACATCCCTACTGGTGTTGTTGGCACTGAATACACATTCATACAAGTTTTAGGAGTATCTTAAGGATCCAAGCAAATTCGCTGTTACTTTCGCTTCTGTAGCATCGTCTGGGAAAGTTGTTATTCCTGCAGCCGAAGAAGAGGGAAAAGTTAATCCTACTAATGGATCTAACGATGATGACTTTGACTTTAGCATATTTGACTAAGTTTCTTGTCATCAAGGCACAAAAGTTATCTTGTCTGGTTTAAGAAAGCATAATTACAACATTCCGACAACTAGGTTTGTAATGTTTTCGAATCAGACAAAATGAACAATCATTCAACAAACTTTGAGATCCAAAGTATTCTGAAAATTCATCCCAGTCAACTGCGAACTTTCAAAAACTTTGGAGAGGGTTCTGTAGGCAGTCTAAAAATCACAACAAATAGTTGATACCTATCAAATTTCAATCAACATCTCGATAAAATGAAAGCTGCAATTGAAGGATTTTCACATAGATCGAGAAAGGTTACAATACAACGACCTTCGCGATAATCAATGAAAAGCCCTGATTCAACAATAATACAATCAACAGCGAGAGTTGCAATCTGACAACTCTCACATTTTAAAAAAGCTAAAGCAAATATTACAGAACAATGATCTTTGCGATGCTATGCCAGAAGAGATTACAAGTTAATAATCTCTTCAGTCCAAGGCACATAACTCATCTCTGCAAATAAAACACAAATAGACGCGTTCTAAAGCCAAAGCAACACAGCTTTAATTCAGCTATCCACGTAGCTTCAATTCAACTGCCAATGCAGCTTAATTCAGCTACTAATATAGCTTCCCAACGCTGCGTTCAAACACAAGGTTCATGCCCAGCAATGCAAAACTTACGTTTGACCTATTCAAACGTGATCTAAACAGTTCCAAAAACCGTTTTTCACCCATGATCTGGGGAGTGCTTTAAGTGGGTTATTACACCCGATTATAGGGCAACTAAACCACATTAAGGAGCGGATTAAGGAGGCGGTTACACCCCTTATCCCTATATAAATATCAACAAACTCAATTGAGTTTGGGAGGGATTTTTTTTGGAGGTCAGATCAGAGATTGGGCTTTGAATCGGATTTCTAAAGGTATTCTTCAGCAATAGAGAGTTTTAATACTTGGCTATTAACTATTTATGGTTCCAACAACTCTTTGCATATAGTTTGAACTCGTTCTAAGTTCTTAAAACTTATTAAGAGTTATTTCAATCGTTCTAGTAAAAGAAGACATACAGATTGTTAATGGAAAGCAAACTCGACGCGAGCATTCAAGGAAAGCATTCCATCGCTACCGTGAAGAACCCAGTTTTAAATAAAAAAGAGGATCTTCGTCGATCTTCTTCTCTTTTGTAATCAGAAATTTCAAATTGTAATCGAGATTGAGAGAGTTGTAAATATTCTTTTTCTAAACAATTAGAGAGAATAAAATTAAATTAAATTCTTTCACTTTTGTTTCGTAAATTTTTCCAACAAACAGCATTAACTGCTCTGACAAAGTCATCACTGCTCTAGCCCCCATAGTCTTTATGACTCATTAGACCCAGTCTGCACCAAGAAGTTGTTGTCACTTTGAACTAACTATTTGGATGACCCATCTTCACCAGCAGCGGACACATGGTAGCAATTTGTTGAGTCGGCTGCCTACCTGGACTCGACTCAAATTACATATTTGCCCTTATGATCCTTTATAAAAGGAAGCCATGCAACCCCATGTAGCTCTCTGATCTTTTCATACAACTTTGAAACCTTCTTCATCGTCTCACATTTTCCCATTCAAGCTTTCATACAACACTCTCTCAAGAAGAGTCTTATTCACTCATTCTGCAACATAGTTTTGTTGTGCTATGTATCTGTAGTTTTGTTGTGCTATGTATCTGTTTGGTGGAAAATTTGTAGTAAAAAGAAAATGAAGGAAAATTAATTTGTATTCCTTTAATCTCAATTACAATTGGATTCTGATTACAAAAGAGAAGAGAATGATCTGAATTCTCCCATTTGTTTAAAACTGGGTTCTTCACGGTGGTGATGAAGTGCCTCCCTTGAATGCTCGCGTCGAGTTTGCTCTCCGTTGACGATCCGACATTTTGATTCATTAGAACGATGTCTTCTCCTCACGATTTGACGTTGTGGAGAACTTGCGTGGTAAGTTTTAGAACTCTGAACGAGTTTAGAAGAACTCTGTAAAGAGTTGATTTGAACAAAAAATCGGTTAATAAGCCAAGGCCATAAGAAAGCTCCAGTGGTCGATCTCCAGATCCGAGAATGCTCCAAAGATCCTCTCTTTGCTGCCAAGTTCTAGGGTCAATCCGAGCCAAGAAGTTCCAAACCTTTAATTCAGTTGAGTTTCTTCTTATTTATAGGGGATTAAGGGGGTGTAACCACCCCTTAAATCACTCCTACGTGGGGTGTAACCGCCCCCAAATCGTGGGAAACAGTTTTGGAACTGTTCAAGAGTTTAAGGGGTGCAATCCCCCCTAAAATATCTCCATAATGGGGTGTAACCAACCCCAATAAGTGGAGATACAGTTTTAAAACCCTATAGGTTCTGTTTGAACCAGTCAAACACAAAAAAACACAGGTCTGACCCTCGCGTTTTGATGTTGCAACGCAGGTCCGACTCCAGCATTTTGATGTTGACACGCGGGGAGGACCTTCGTGTTTGGGCGTTGACACACGAGGAGGACCTCCGCGTTTTGGTGTTGACACATGGGAGGACCTATATGTTTTGTTCTAGGAGTTTAGAACACGGCCACGAGCTATGCGTTTTGAATCTGGGACGCATAAATTTGAAGAGACCATCGATTTGTAGTCTCTTTTGCTAGAGCGTTGCAAAGATCACCATCTTGTAATCTTCATCTTGGCTCCTTTTTTGCTAGAGCGTTGCAAAGATCACCATCTTGTAATCTTCATCTTGGCTCCTTGAAAATATGAGAGTCGTTAAATTGTAATCTTCATCTTGGCTCCTTGAAAATATGAGAGTCGTTAAATTGTAACTCCCGATGTTGATTGTGAAGACTGTTGATTAGAGCTTTCATCGGTTATCGTGAAGGTCGTCAGATTGTAACCTTTATCGATCTACGTGAATATCTACAAATTATAACATTCTGGAAGTCGTCAGATTGTAACCTCCATCATCGGCGTTTGATGGGAGATCAGCTATCTATTGTGATTTTTAGACAGCCTACAGTATCAAAAAGTCCGATGAGTAATTATACCCTCATCCTTATAAAATTCATCAAACTCCGAAGAGTAAAATTCCAATCCATTATTGATTTTTAACCTCTTAATTTTTCTATCAGTCTACTTCTTAATAAATGTCTTACACTATTTAAAATGCTTGAACACTTTATCCTTGCAATTTAGCATGTAAACCCAAAATTTTCTTGAGTAGTCATCAATGAATGTCAACATCTATCTAACATCTCCCTTCAGAAGAAGACACAAAAGATCTCTCATATTAGAATGTATATAATCCAAACTGCCTTTGATTCTATGTATAGCTCTACTAAAACTGACATACGTTTTCTTGCCAAGAATACGGTGCTCACAAAAATCATCTTTTCTGTGCTCAGACGACAAAAGAGTCTCCTCTTGCTAAGTATAGTCAAGCCCTCTCGCTCATATGACCCAATCTAATAACCACAACATGGTAGCATAGTTCTCTAATAATGATGATGTAGTAACTGTAGCAGCATCTATAACCATCTTTTGTTGCAAGATATAGAGATTTTTTTATTTTTTTACCTTCATAATTGTAGGCATCAAAAATTGTCAAACACAGCTCAAGACGAAGAAAAGACGAAGAATGTCATCATCCGGGTCAAAGAAGATCATCCGATGCCAAAAGAGAGCAAAGGAAGGCACAAAACGACAAAACAACGATACGCAAAAAACGACAGTACAACAAAGTAAGACATCTGAAGTGTCTCAAAGGGAGAGACACAATAATGTGTCTCGAACTCAAAGTGCAAGACACAATAGTGTGTCTCACACTCAAAGTGCGAGACACAGTAGTCGCCCAAGGCGAGAAACACAATTGTATCATGCCCGAAAACTCCCAAAACGCATTTCTTTGATGATTTCTCATAATTCGTGCTATCAAGTGGCTTCCTAACTACCTTGGGAGTATCTTTACACACAGGAAAGTTGTTATTAACTAAAGATATGACTAGATCATGAGATCTTATCCACAAACACAATATTTGAGATCTATAAATACCCCCTTCGTGCATTTGTAAAAGGGGCAGACGAACGTACGAGAGAACTTACAATTTTCAGAACAGAGCCATGATTTTCAGAGAGAAAGGTGGGATCTTGGTGAATTCTTGCGTATAAAGAGAAGATTTTGAGAGATCTGCAGGCCTTCACCCCTTTCCTTGAGATCAAACCTTGTTTTGATCTTGAGAAGAGTAGTAATCTCACCTTGCTGAGGTTATTTACTTCTATTCTAAAAATCAAATAAGAACACTGAGCCTTCTTCATGATCAATTCGAATCTATAAATCGATGGTTCACGGGCTAACGCGTCCCCAGCACAGGGAAAGATCCCATGCAAGCAGAGACTGATAAATGATCTCTGCATGTGTTTCAAGGAGATCTCTTTTTTCGTTGTAGTGAGAAGTCTTATAAAAACACTAACTCCTTTGAATCTGTGTAAACAATAAATATTGTAATGGGTTCAACAATAAAATTTATTTCTCAAGCAAACACGTTGGCGACCACAGTAGGAGCCAACAGCCTCTCTGTCGAGGCTGTCATGTCACAATCGAAAATCAAGATCCCGATTGATGAAGAGGCCGTGTATGAGTTTGACCAACAAAAGTTTGAGGAGTACCTCTCATCCTCCTTCTCTGGATCCTCCTCCCCTCACAAATGCAGGAACATCTCCTCCTCGAAGAAGGTTCCCTGGTCTTCGGATCTGAAGAAGACCTAGGGTGATAACTCTCGCCCAATTGTTACGGAGGCTTCCCCTCGCAACATATCTCCGGCGTCCAATGAAGCCAGAACTTCTTCTCACAATAACTCCTTCAGT